GTTTGCATTGACAATTCTTTGTGCTGAAGCCTCTAAAGTATTAGTTGAATGCATAAGTATTTGGGGCGACTACGCTGCAAGTTTTTGTAAGTGGATTTACCTTTCCTTGAAATGGACTCAAATTTCATTGTTTCATTTGAAGGCTTCTTTAATAAAGTTTTTATTATGCCTTTGCCTCCCATAAACCATTTTACTTAATAGCGAAATGGATATTTGCCCATTCTACTTTCTGTGCCACTAGTGGTTCCATTTCTCTCTGTACCCAAAGACGCGCGATCGAGACTATTATTTCTGATAACGCTCTTATTAGTGTAGCAGGTGCTCCTTTCCTTAATCAGCTCCGCCTCTCACTTTGACCTCAAGGTAACGGGTAACTCCTCCAGCCTAATACACCCAGAAAACATCTGTCCTGGTGATATTCGACACCAAACGAAGAAGTGAATCACGAATTTCTTTTTCCTCGTCTGTCAAACAACTGTGCCCTTTTTACTACATTCTATGCTAACGGTAGCCATCAACGTTGCTAGAATCCTCGAAGAGCATGAAGAAAGAGGCAGTTCTGAATGCGATGCGCTTGCTAACACCTGAACTATCCTTCAAGTTGCTTGTTTGTTAGTGAATGTTGTCAAGTCGACATTCCACGGTTGCCTGACTAATTTATCTTTTTCCCAGAAACAGCACAAGCGTTGAGTGAGTCACTTCATTTACACTGCGAGCTGAGATGCTGCTAGTCAGCTAGCTGGCCAGATAACCAAACAACCAATCGAACAAATTTTTGCGTGTGAACAGGGAGTCCGTAGTAGAATACGGTCTGCTAAGTGGGGTGCCTCCTATTAGTTGGACGCTATACGGAAAATGGGCACTAATGGTAGCATCTGTACCCTTTTCCTCCTCCGTTCGGTAGATTTGCTGCTTAGCATATTTTCAAACTAGGATCTGTGGTTTCACATCAGCTGAGGCATAAAAAAAGACAAGGAAGGAGGTAAATAGAGCGAATTTTAGCCTTAGAGATGAGATAAAAACAAGCACTCCTCCAAATTCAGGCTCTCTTACTTAAAATCAAAGTGAAGATAGTGATAGACAGAAGGTGCGTGTTTCTACCAGTTTTCAATTGTATATCATAAACGTTCTGCAAATTCTTCTTAAGAATAGGAATTAATTCTTGTGAGCTTAACCGTCACTTTGGTGGGCACAGCTGCTGCTCTGCCGTGGTTATCGATTTTTCCGATCGATAATGCAACCAGAGGGCGCAACCCCCGAGTTTTTATCGGTACAGCAGAAATAATTTTTCATCTCCACAAATAGAACAATTAGTTATTAATTTTTGATAAAAATTACTAAAAATTTACAAGAAAGCACTCTTATATTGAGTACGAATTACTTAGAAAGTAATATTTGTATGACATGTAGATAAAAATTGTAAAAAAAGGTTTAAAGAAATAGATAATACTGTGCGTAAGATGAAGCTCCTGAAGGCTAATAGAGGCTGACATTGCAAGTGTGCTTGACCACTCACTCAAAGAGAGGAACGCCAATGGAATATCTTAAGTAGACATCCCCATCTACTCCAATGCGGACTCAACTCAGTGTCACTTGAGGAAGCAACCCTCCTATGGAACATGAGCAGGGGGCTTGTGAAGTCCGAAGCACCCTTTTCTCCTAGAGAAGTTATCAGTAGGTAGGGGAATAACAGCCAAAGTCATGACTAAGTCATGCCTCACCTCCCAAATTTATCTCCAAGTAATTTTACGCTAATATTAGGGCACCTTACTTTCTTCTCATTCTTTAATTATACACTTTGAAGAATTTTTTAAACAAATCAGCTGTTTTGAGATTTTAAGGTGAGTCAGGCACCCGGTCATGTAATTCTTTATTTATCCAAAGTATTGCCCTAAGAAGTTAATAATAAATAAGTACGGGATTATTAAAGCCAAATACGTGCCACTTAATTTAAGGACAGGCTTAAAATTCATTGTTTTCAAGTACATCCATCGCTGCAGCTAGACAAATAAATTAGTTGTAGTGACCATCACCTCGCAATACTTAACGATAATGGGGTCGCACCCGACCTTGCTCTCCCCCCTCCCTAGTGGGTGCAAAAGTACAGACCCTGGGAGTATCCACTTAACCCTTCTCCTAATTGATGCAGTCTGTTTAATCGCAGTCTACCTCGCCGCCACATCATGATTGTTTATTCCAATGGTTCCAGCCACGCATAAATCGCAACGGCCATGCAAACTGCTTGCTCGTTGCATTTGCATGCACAGATGGGCACTGATTGGCTGTAGCAGGCTAATACACGCACCTGGACCAATAGGAGGCTCCGAAGGGTATGACTAACCGAGTTCACTTGTACCATTGGCCGACATGGCTGGTATAAATAAGGCATCTCATTCGTCCGTTGATTCATGTGCTTGTGGAGCAGTGGACGCATCAAAAGACTCGCTTTGCGAAGGTTTGTCAAATGTCCTCAGCTGAGAGACACCTCAATGGTGATCTTGATACCATGGAGTTGTGCAGAGGTATCGGAAGTCGACAAGACAGTGGTTTTTCTGATATTATCGCACGGAGTAGCATCATGGGAGAGGTCAGCGATACCAGTCTTCAAGACTCTCTGTTGCAGTCATCCCCGATCGGATTTCGATCTCCGGTGCCAAGGGTAGGTTCCATCAAAATTTTTGGGCTGTTTCAACAATCACTGGGATCCTGGTAACAATTTTTTCTTCTCGTTTCAGTCACTCAATCAGCAGGACGCCTTGAGATTGTGGCGGCCACTTCATCGGCTGCCCGACTTCCAACAAATCACTTCTCGGGGCGCTTTGCCCATTAACCCAAACCGTTCTTTCAGGCCAAGATCAGCGCCATTGGTAATAGATAGGTTCTCGTTGCCGGAGGAGGATGAAGAGCAGGATAGGGAGCAGGTGGATGACGAAATCGCGGATCATGAGCATCACCATCGCCATCATTATACTCAGCACCAGCAGCAGCAACAATCGATTAATCACCGTGATCACTCACCTCCCCCACCTGTCGTTTTTATCCCTCGTGATCGAAGGAGAGCAGGAGGTAGGCAGCCTGATATATTCATGCAGCAAACATCGAGGTGGTGTTAGTTTTCAATCACGGGACTGAATCCTCCTCTAAGTGAGGAAAAACTAATTCCTGAAATCACTTTATTTCCTTTGATTATGTCATGTATTGTGGCTCCTTTTGTCGAGTGATTACGTTGTTGATCGAGCTCACTGTTCCTCAGATATGATGCCTTTCGACGGTAGCTTGATTTACTCTTGAAGCTATGACCATTGATCTCGCTGTCATGTTGACGATCTATCATTATTTCTGCCACACGTGGATCATCAATTAAGAGACCCAGTATCTTTTAGCAGCAGCAGCAGCAGCAGCAGTGGCGAAGGTGAACTGTCTGTCATACCTTTCGACACTGTGGTACTGGTATTCCGTAGCCTCCTCGTTTACCAGATAGCTTGCTTGCATGATAGAGAAAAGGAGGAAGGCGGGTGGGGGTGGATGCCTATGATTCATCATTAGAAGGCCAAAAATAGCTTCCACTTCTCTCCGCGTGTGTGATTAAGGGTGGAGGTTGCGGCAGGAATGTTGATGGTATAATTACTCATCTAAGGCCTTTCCTCTTTCTGCCACCGTTGTCGATGTTGACGTGTATGCTATCGTTGCTGTGACTGTCGATGTGTGAAGCTACTTTCACGCTTGTGACCGCGGACACTTGCGTGCAGCGCCCCCTTTGGAGCCTTGCCCTGTCCTCCAAGTAGGTCGGGCGTCAGTCTATTCCATCTGCTTCCCTCAGACTACGTTTTGAGATGGCTATATTTTGACAGACTCATTCACTATCAACGTTACACGTATGTAACACTTGGCGATGAACTTGATGCATTTTTTCATTTAAAAAGGCTAAAGTTGATGTAATACCCCGAGGAAAGAAATCGCTCAAGAAATATCCCACATTTTCACATTTAAAATGACGTTTTTAAGTGAAGCAGTTTTATTTCATTGGCATACTGATTAGTTTTTCCCACGCCTCCTTAGCCGCGATGGTGGGATCTTGTTCGTCTGTTGCCTAAATAGCAGATATTTCACTTTCAAGACTTGAAGACAGGAATCTTGGCTATTTAAAACGTTCGTTCTCAAGGTGTGCCTCGGATGCATCCTGATTACAGCAGTCCACGAAGTGCATAGTGTCTTTCAAGTTATGCTGCTCAGTACAGAAGAGCCCATTAATCTTCAGGCAAGGAACAACCTACATTTGTTGCATTGTTGCCTTAATCTCAAACTCTGTTTGCGGCACATAATGTGAGGCAACCGGCCATCATGAACCGGTAAATTAGTGCGAATATCGGGGTGTCACGTATATGCGACGCTTTGGTGAACACATTAGATTTTCTTTTGATGACCGTCGTGATGAGCTTGACAAACTCAAACGTGCAAAAGTGGTATCGCCTTTTTGTTAGCTCTCCTTGCGGATATGTGTCGATGCCTTGGACGAAATTCAGCGAGGCGCCAATCGGTTGATATGCGATCCGTGTCGACGCAGACATCTATTTCGCCCTTAGAGGCGTGTCCACGACCCACTCCACACAGACGTCTGCTATCTGTGAGGCCTCAGTCCGCACCGCTGCAGGAAGAGGAGGAGGGAGTGGAGAACGTGGAGAGGGTGGCAACAGAGGAGGCCGTGAAGCCCTGGGGACACCATCACCACCACCACCACCACCAGCTACTCACCCCGCCTGTCACTGCTACCACTGTCTCTACCACCGGTTCGTGCTGCCGCTTCTGTGTGCATTCACAACGCCAACTGTCATCTGCAAATTCGTCGCGTTCCTCGTCGGTATTTGTGTTTGGAGAAGACCTTCTCGGTGAGAAATGCGATTTTTGCCTGCATTGATTTGACCAACTTAAAATATTTCATCCCATTAAGCAAGCACCTGGAGCATAAGCACAGGTTCTAGCTCTGTGAGTCACCTCTGAAGATACAGTAAGACCCACTGATACGAAAGGTTTATTTTTTAACGTATGGGAGGATCAGAAGGCTCAAAGTACCAACGATAGAAAATCAAAACCAAGAGGCTCACCGAGATAGTGGACACCGAGGAGCTCGTGCGGTTAAATGTAATTAGATTCGCATTGCATAGTTCTCTTCCTTTTGCTCTCCTTGGCCACTTTTTGTGCCCGTCGTGAGAAATCTTCCTGTATATTCCACTTAGCCACAAGCCAGGAGAGCGGATCCCGCGGTGAATGGACCTCCTAAAGAAAATGCTATCTGTAGATCTGGCTTGGGTCACTGAGTGTCCCAGAAAAAATTGATTTAATACCTAGTGGTACAAATCAGGCACTTTGCTACGGCAAGAATAATCTCTAAGTCAGTCGCTTCTCTTAGCAAAATTTTTCAAAAAGCGCCATAAGGAAAGGGTGTATTCATAAAGGTGGAGTGTGATGTCAAAATGGAGTGTTGCTCAAAAGCCCAAGTTTTTGCTATAACCTCTCTACTGCCAGCCATTGCAGTTTCAGTCAGCCACAGAGATGCCCTTCATTCTCTGTCCGTTGGTGTACCACCCAGCCGAAGGAATCGGGGTTCTCAATTCGCTGCGACAAATCTGATGTCTCTAGCCATCTCTGAGGACATGAAAAAACACCGATTTGTAGTTGACGTACAAAACAAATATTGAGTCAACGCAAGGCAGTAGTGGGTAGTTGGAACGTGTGGAGGATGGATGGTCCAATGTTTTATAAAGGATTAATCCTCTTAAACCTTGTCACTAATTCATGCCCACAGTTCTCAAATTGCTGGATTATTTGTAAGCAAGTCTAAAAACGGTCAGTGTACTGTTTGCTCCCCGTTTATTGGTCATATTGGTGTAGCACCCCGAGTCACACCTGAAGTCGTAGTAAAGATAACTAACGTGAAATATTTTGTGCTTAGACTGCAGAAGGACTGAGAAGCTAAATATGTCAACCACTGTCCACACAACCAAGATAGATTCTTCTTCAATAGGTCTCAGTTTGAAAGGTTACTAAAAACCCCAAGCCTGCGTCCGAAATCCGCTCAATAGCAGCTGCAGTTAAATGCTAGATATATATCTGCTGTCAAACTTTGTAATGCTTGCAAAATCGGTTGTTCTTGTGCGCATAGGGATGCAACTTAAGCGTATTACTAAGTGAAGAAATGAATAGCTTTACTTTCAGCACATTACTTGTTCCTTAACTGTGTTTGGCATTGAGGTCATAAGGTAAAACCTTCCCCCAAAACTTGGATGTGTTGCTGTTTCTCAGATCAACACTGTTCTACTCATAGTTTATTAGTAATTTGAACTCTGATGTGTTCAAAGCATGATTTAGCCCAATCAGTTACCATGGCCTGATAATTAGCTCATGACACATATATGTGACGATAATGAGGAGCTCATTAAAATAATTCTTTTTAAGACTAATGGACTGTTTTGAGTGTCGTACACTACTTACAACTGTTTCAGCACCAAAAGTTGCAACTGGTGGAATGCCTCTTTCTCTTAACATTATTTGTGTTCATTGGTTTGGGCCTAGGAACGCTTTTAAATCACTTCATCCTTTCTACGATTCTCTTATTTTGCAAAAAAACACTTGAATTATTGTTTACCTGTTGTCGTTATACTGCAAATGCGTAGAAAAGGGTCTAGGTTTTATCTGAATAAAGGAAATATAAAAGCGTTTTAATATAATGACCGTCTCTTGACCACTGCAGCAAAATAAAGCTTAGTCAGGATTTTTAGGCGTTACCCACCGCCTCTCAGATGAAAGTTAAAAGCGCCACCTTAGACACTGCACACAATGCATTTGTATTTGATTGATTCGCATTCCTCTTCGGTGGTAACTTGGTAGACCTCCGAAAAATGCATTTTATGCAGTAGGTTTCTCCGAAAGCGATTGCTTACAAAACGGAACATTTTGGGGAAATAATCCGGGATTTCGATTATCGTAAAGGAATTGAAGAATGTATTTATTGATTGTTTTCATGGCTGGAGAACCCGTGTAACTGTGCCACACCAGGTCAAGGTGTAACCAAATGAAGGACAATTTCATTGGATTTAAAATGTATGAAAAGAATTCAACAACTACGCCAATTCTCGTCAAACATGATTTGTTAGTGACAAGTCCAGTTACTGCAGAATTTACCCACCTACTTTTAATCTCATTTTGGAAGACTTTATTACCACTAATGGCTCCACGGCCTGAGCAAATTAGTAGGTAAATGAAGTAATTTATATTTCGTAAAATGAAAGCCTTTAAATTCAATTGGTAGAAAAGCAGCATTTTTACTGATGTCGAGGCAAGGGCAAATGTGATTGTTTAATAAAAGCACACTGTCTTTCCAACCAATGCATTCGCTTTCCCCTAAGTTCATCAATCAACGTTTAGGTGTCGAGCAATAATTTCTTGTCAAGCTCTTACGTGTAATTTGTCTCTTCCAATTTCACCAAAATCCCCACAGGAATGACTACAGAGGGTGTGGGCCGATAAAAGTTGCACTACCTTTTGGTCGTCGCTGAGTGACATTCGCTTGGACCTATTTGAATCGTTGACATCATTCAGATATCCCATTGCAGAGAGTCTTAGCGCACCAGCTTCGTACTCTGCCTTGCTGAAAGCTCTCTGCAGATACAAGTAGATATACGGAATCGGGCTCCACATCCTTATTGTTCACAGGAATCACACACAAGATGCATGCAGTCACTAGCACTGTTGCCTGCCGTGTTGATTAACAGTGTCTGGACCAGTCCGCGACGTACGTCGGCTATTGGTACTCCTAATTTCACGGCATGATTTCGCCCATCTACGTCAGAAATATCCCATCAAAGACGTTTGGATATAGCATTTTGAACATCAAATTTAAGATTCACTTTATCTAAGAGTAATTATAAGCAATAACATCAGATCTAGAAGTAGGTACTAATAAATACTAACAGCTTCCAGTTTTGCTCAATTCTGATCTTTTACGTGTCACCATCTAGAACTGATGGGTGACTGTGGAATCTCCTCCAGCCCGTGCTGCAGGACCCAGGATGCAGAACCTCCACCAGCGCCTACATCAGAGGCGGTTGCGGATTCTTCACCAGACCCTGAGATGATGCATGAGATGTCTGCCTACCTTGAAGTACCCCAGTCCCAACGACCTACCTACATCCGTCTCAGATCCGCCTCCGCTCCCATCGATGATAATGACAGCGAGGACGCTCCACAACATTTACAGTGAGTCGGCTTCACTAGCCACCTAAGTCGCCTCAGCTGTCTATCTGATTATACTTTTCATCTTTTTACAGGAACCTTGTTTGCATTATTTGTATTCATTTGAGGCTTTTTACCAATTATTACTCAGTTATGCTTTTATTTTGTTGATGGATAAATATGCCGTTTTTTATTCAATCATCAGGGAGTTTTACTCACTCTTTCAAGCAGCATTGTTGCAACACTTGTACTCTATGAATGAAAAACCTAGTTGCTGGATAATTTTTTGTTCCCTTATTAATTACGGTCGATGCTTCGCCCTAAGTCCATCTTTTCGCTTGTTTCAGAGTCAAAACTTGTTGACATTTTAGACGTCTCATACGACGGCGACCGCGTCGTTATTCCTACAACTACGAGAATCTAGTCAGTATCGCCCAACGCATCGCGAATGCAGGCGATGCCTTTGATTTTGAGCATCGACAGAGCAACAGCAGTACCGCATCGGTGGGTGTAATTTTTCGGTGAAAATGACCCTGTCACACATCAGTCCATTCAACTGCTGCATTATCCAGTTTGTTGGTCCCCTCGTCTACCTAAATGCAACTTTCTCTTTAGCAGTTTTTTGAGTTGGGCAGAAGCACCAGTTCCCTCCAATGGATTTCCTCCAGTTTAGCTGACCTTATGGCTCGACCAATCGGAGCACTGCGGAACCTGTGGACTTCAGGACCGGTAGACGGAGAGTCAAACAGAAGCTAAACTACTCTTTCTATTATCTCTCTTAACCTAAGACATAACAACGAATCACACAGGCAAAGGCAGCCTTATATTACTGTACTTATTATACCGTGCATAAACATACCCATATACGCATACATACATATGTACGTAGGAAGCACAGCTACTTTTTTGCTATTCATCTTGATTGGTTAACCTTTTGTTTTATCATAGAAAAAGTAAGTGTCAACAAATTTGTTTATTTCTAAGATCGGATTGTTTTTCTTTTCCAGTTATTGCGGCAATAATTGTTTCTTACTGGAGACTCCTGACACTGCAGACCGTAGGTTCGTGATATTTAGAGTGGGTTTCAAAAAAATTGCGCTACTGACGTGTCTCACCGATAAGCGGAGTGAGCGGTGTTTAAGGGTCTCATTAAATATCAACGGCTGGTACTGGACTTCTTTCAGTTACCGTCACCAAAGGTGCCAGGTTATTTGCGGAAGATTGAGTTAAAGAAACGTGAAAACAACGGCAAAAGTCGACGATTTCTGGAGTCTCTTGTAATTTCCTGCGTCAGTTGCAGATCTGCGTCCCTCCAGATTGGTGTAGCCAAAATTATTTAGCCATGATTCGGCCGTCTTACTGGTGAGAGCTGTAAGCAAAACTGGCCCAGAAATGGGGCTTTCGGAGCTACTGACTGCATATCACACCTAAACCTTGCAGTATAGCGGTTTTGGATGGGGGTAATTATTAAATCACGCCCACGTCAGTTCTGCCAAGAATCCGGCATTAAAGAAGGATCAGATATAGCCAAATTAAAAGTGTCTCAGTAAAATTTTTTCTTATTCTGCTACGAGCATAGTGATTTGCATCTTGACTTGGATAAAAGATATCCCTTCCTCATGCAGTCCTTAGTAAATTAATTATGCAATGGCCAATTTGAATTAAAAATGTGATTGCCATAGAAAGCCATCTATAGCGAGCCACTGATTTTCCACTACTCCACTGCTAAGAATTTTACCATCACGTATTGGTGTTACATAAAAAGGGCAGACCGTGTTTAGTTGAGACAGCATGTGATCCTCATTTATTCAAAATAATAATAAGTATTTGCAAGAATAAGGTTAAGCTTTATATCCAGCTGACAGTGCAAAAAATAAATCAGATGACTATACATTAGTTCATTATTAGTTAAAATCATGATCAATCATTTGCAGGTCTATCTTTGGTCTACTACCTTACTTGCATGTAATTATTGTTAAAAGTAACAAAAATTTGTTTTAAAAGCAATGTTTTGCAAATAGCTACGTTTTTGCAAGTCAAATGTAATATTTTTGTTGTTATAGCATGCTGTGAAGCAAATGTACGACGCCGTGACCTTGGACAACCATTTGTAGAATCGCGCGACATACAGAATCCTCGCGACGAATCAGTAAGTGAAAATGGGCCATACAATTAATTGGGCAGATAAACCAAAATATTTTGTGGTTCCACACATCACAAACTCGTTTGCCTTTACAAACTTTGCTGGCACACGCGTCTGCTGTTGAAGTGAAGCATTAAAGTCCATCCATCTTATTAATTGATTGAAGTGGGTAGTTCTAAAAAACTGTAGCTCAACGCAGCTCAGGAAGTAGCTACTTTGCGTTTTTGCTTTTAAACCGCTAAACGGTTTTATGACAGTCCGAAGTTATGTCTTGTTCTATTGTTCAATCATGCTAAATTATTTATTTTAGAGGTGCGCATTTTATCTTTTCACTGTGCTCGTTCTTGCTAAAGGCGAATGCTGCATGCATCGACTGATATAGTTGGTTTTATCTGTATATTCAATTAATTTAACACAAACACCTACGATATGGCATCTTTTCTAGTTTTTACACCCTAAATATATTACCTCTGCCTTAAGATAAAATGGTACATTCCGCCCAACCGGATGAAACACTCGTCAAATTTCTCAAATTTATTCAACTTGAGGAGTGCTTGGATATTTTAAATGAGGAATTGAATGTTAAAAGGTTGGTTTTACTTGTTTACCTTCCATCTTATTACTAATCGACCATAATATGGAAGTGCTTCGTTTTTCCAGTAGCATATTTTCTGATTATGATATAGTGTGATTTTGAGGGACAAATAATGCATGGTATCTACGATCAAAAGAAAAGTACTAAGTAAAGGGATACTAAACAACTAATAAAGAAATTTAGCACAGCTGACCTCATCAGAAATGCAAAGTTTACTTGTCACAAGTGTCTGCCTTTACCACAGTTTTGCAGACTTGAAGAAATTAAAAGAAGAGTCACTACAACCATTACTACGGGGACCCGCAACCAAACGGCTTCTGGAAAAGTATCGAGGTTATAAAAAAAAACAAAAGGAACCAAAAGTAAGTTGTGGCAAACTCCTCAGTTTTTTTCATGTGAATCCGGAACTAGACTAAAATGGTGAGATTATGATTATATGCAGGATTTTTAAGGCAATTCTAAAATTTTCCTGACAACAGTCGAGTACCGCAGTAAACTAAGAGCTACTGCTTTTGTAGTGCTAACCAGAGCTATTTCTTTGATTCACTTTACATAATCATGTTTCAGACCTACCGTGTTCGTTCACTCCATAGTTTCTCGAGTCACATACTAGTGCTCTGAGGGTACTTACTGGTCTTACCGTAATAGAGCTCTTGGGATTTGGTCATTAGGTATGAATAAAAATAGACGATCTGGCCACGCAAGCGCTTGACAATAGTTAAAATTAAAGAACGGAGGCAGCTTAATGTAATCATAATTTAGTGACTGTATGGTGTAGAAATCTCAAGATTTTTCCAAGTGTGCTGAATATTACTCTGGGACAACTAACAGAACTGCCTATTTCTCTAAGAGCTTCAGCCGCAGCATGAGGTGATAACCTACTTAAGTGCAACATTCCACTGTCATACGATGAAAATTGACCTACTTTTAACAAATCCAAGCCTTAATTAAGTGAAAATGATTTAATAAAGATCCTTAACACAAGTATGTGATATCGGATAGTCTTGATTGCTTCATTTTACAACCATAAAACAGCTTCAGATTCACGATTTATAGTCATCACCTCACGGCGCTACGATGAATTAGAAGGGTTTTCATATTTTTTAAAAATTCTGTAGCCATCCAAAATGCGTCCTTTGTCTGAATTTCTTGCGGAACTAAAATTAGGATCTACGGAAGATGACTTGAGAAAAAAACTTTATGTTACATGGTGAGTTTTGGGTGCAAAATATTTAAAAATAAACAGAACGTCATTTTAATAACCCATTCATGCACATCAGCTGACCTAATGGTTTACCTAAAAATTAATTTAATGTGTCTTCCTCCCCATAATCAGGCATAGGGTTAAGTTACTTGCTCTTATACATAGTTGTTTCTAGAAGCACCCCTTAAAAACTTTACAGTACTTCACATTGCAGTTATCACAAACGTTTGGAGTGACACTCACTCATGACTCTCTTACTTGATCTCACAATGGTAACAATTGTTGGTAGCAAGTAATAAATCAAGTGGGAGCGTGTAAATACCAAGATAGTAGATCCTTCGTGAAAATTTCTTATTAAACTTGTTCACTTTTTAAAGGGTGGATTTCGATTGGAAACTGGTTAAGGGTAACTACGATTGTTTCTCATTTTTCAGCGTTGAACACTTGAAGTTTGCAACTCACGCTGATCTAGAAGAGTTTATGGATAAGGAGTCTGCGAGGAAACTCCTAAAGGCCTATTCAAAAGAAAAGCAGGTGGGTAGTAGGCATTAGCATTGGGTGGCAAGAAAGGACTAATTCATACCTGCAGCCAATTTACACTCCAAACGGGTGGTCGGTTGGTGAAGTTGTATGATGCTGTACTCTCACACCGCGCACAAAAGAGGAAAATAAAGTGAATTAAGGATTTCGATAAAGTTGCCTAAGAGCAGCCTAACTAGGGCTTGTACAGTTAAGTGTTTGTCTGGTAGTAAGATGGGTAAACCAGATTTCATTGTTGCCATCCGCTTTTCTTCTTTTTCTCCCTATCTAGAAGAAGAAGATAGAAAAGGCCACTACAGCAACCCAAAACTTTTTTAAACCTCTCAGTGAGTGCATAAAGGTTTCAGTGCAACAAGTACTCACCCTCCGGATAAACACGAATTCTAAAGTAAAGGTGGACCCAACCCCGGAGAAGTCAAAGTAATCCTCTTTCCCTTAATGATTTGAAGTGCTCTCCTCTAGGTCATTACTCCTTTACATGGCTGCACGCTCAAAGTAGAGAGGTTTGAGGATTGCTAATAATTGTTACTATGGTTGCAAGGCCGATTTAGATAGGTGTAATTTCTTTAGTAACGCTTGTTACATTTCAGTCACCACAGTAAGACCCCGCGATGGCAGTCTTTTTTGTTCGATATTTTGCTGTTATGTCAAGGTTGCCATCTCATTGGTTCACTCTGAAGGTTGTCGTGGCTCCGCAAACATGGAATAACCTAATTACTGGCGAGCGTCAGCTACATGCACTCAGAGTGACGGCTAGTGATTGTTCTCTCTGCTGATAATCGAGAATTTAAAAAAGCAGTCGATTAATTTAATGTTTGGCATTTCATGTATGTAAAATGCTTCTTTTTGGCTCCATAAACAAGACCGGAATGATAATACCACAACACCTATTTTTAAAAGGGCATATTTTGTTTAATAATTTAGTCAATCGTATTTTTGTTACTTTGCAATCAAATTTGTTTTTGTAAATTCCCAACTCTATGCATTAGCTTGGCCGATATTGTTTGCTTTGTAAGGGCTAAAATACGCTTGTGGGAAATGTTCCACCGATTCCACATCATCTCAAAAATGTGGTTTAGTACCTAGGTTATTCCTTGTAGATTTTACCAGAAGCACAGTCTTGAAAGGAGCCTAGTTATAAATGCGTACAGAAGGGTTGAGAGATCTTGACATGAGCATAGTTATGTGCCACCAGCGTCACAGATGAAGGGAATTGCTCCCTGCTAAATTACTTCCTTCATGGTTTAGCGTCACCCTCGTGCTCATAGGTCTTCGTGATCAACAGCGAATTATAAGCAGGGGTGTCATGTGAATTTGCATTATTGCGAGAATGGGGCTTGTCTCATTGCCATAAAAGCATTTTGTCAGCTTCACCTGGATTAAGTTAGATTTTATGCTGGAAGTAGTCCTAAAAGCGGGAAATTGTTCAACATCGAGCACATTCGGCTTGTTGATCATGTCTTGTGGGGTTATTGACTTAGAAGTTACATGAAAATCAGTGTCTTCCCGGATCATAAACCACGGGGAGTATTCAAGCCAAACCGAGGCCTGTGAGTTCTCAAATGGCCTTCTTCTGTATTAAGAATTTTAGTGCACTATTTAATTGCTACACAAAATCTTCGGCCTGAAAAGATTGACGGTACAACCGGGTGATGCTGGGATAGCCTGTATCATTCTGTAATTGGTACTGGGGGCGCTAACTTTCATGTTTGTTCATGTTTTACTCCGAATTAAGCTGATTATGCTTTACGTTACGATGCAATCCAGAAAATGTTAGTCCTCTTATCAAAACCCACTGCAAATTAGTACAGCTTTAAATTCTTAAGTGGACTAACCCCCGACATTGCAAACATGTGCGAAGGATTGTGCTCTACATTCTCACATAGGAATTGGTCTCCTGTGCTATTTCATGACGGAGGGGTTTTATCTAACAGACACTCAAAGCACTGAATGAACATTCGTGGGTGAAGGTCGTTAATGGCAAACGTAGGACGGTGTTTATATTTGAATCGTGAACACCACCTAGGTGTCTCACTGCTGTTAGTGTAATTGATGCACCGTACTAAGGTAGGAGTAAATTATACACGTAGAAATTCCGAAGTTTTACCTTCTGCCCTCGCTCATCACCACACGCTGGTGCATACGCCTGTCATGTCATCTTGATTAGCGGTGTTTGAAAGCGCTCACACACGACATGTGCGCCTAGTAATACCAATGATAATAAGAACCACCCTTTTTTTTCCTGCTTATACTACCAGTAAAATCAGAAGCTCCTTTTTGATGTGATCTTCCACCGTAAAATGGGTGATAGATATCATCCGATTCTGGTGAAATTGCTCTAGCACACCTTGACTCCACTACCAAAACGTAAAGTGTGCTAAGACTTCTAAGCAACCTCATATACTATTCTAACTTTTAGGACTTCAGATTCAGGGCTTCCAGCCCTGCCTACAAAACAAATAACAGACTCAAAGCCCCAATCTCATGATGATAAACCCCCTCAACCGGAGATAAAACTCGCTAATCAAGGTGTCCATCTTCCACAGATTCCCCCAGGTAACCACTTACAATCAATCGGAAAGTGGGCTGTTGGACTCGTCGCAACTGCTAGGATAGCCGGTTGCCCTTTTTCTAAAAATCAAAGGATTATCTAGTCCAAAAAAGTATTAGCCGTTAAATAATTTTAATACAGACAGTGAATGTAGAAAGGCGAAATCTTCATAATTTATAGCTTTACAAGACAACAAGATACATTTTGTTAGAGATAGTGGCCAATAAGGTGCTCTGTAGATGATGCAATTTAGTTGTTTGGCATTTCACAATTAAACATGCACCATCATCGATGTGACAATCTGCAGATACAGGCACTTTGGCTTGAAGATAACATTTGCAGATCCGGTGTTTTGACTCTGAATGTGGTTGTTCGCAAGTAAAGTAATTTAGATTTACGTTGACCTGATTGGTTTCACTGAAAGTCCTTTTTCCTTTTGCACAAATTAATGGAAAGTGGTCATTTCATTGGCACTTGCCTGCAGTTTTTAGAGGCATTAGAAGGAGAATTTTGACAAATTAGGAACTTGGAGGCGAGCAATGCCTATCACTTTGCCATTTGATATTGAAGGGGGAGAAAAGACGATCGTATCACACATAAACTTTAAAGGCTAACTTTCAAAAATTTGTCAGTTTCTTTACTTTACCGAAACGTTTTAAATAGAAGTAGAGGCAGGTGATGGTCAGCAAATCTGCGTTAGCGCACTTTATCTGATGGGTCAGAAATAGGATAAATATGTTGTTAATTCTTATATTTTAGTGAGGCCTTATGCTTTCATTTAGTTTTAAGAACGATTAGGTCTGATTTGCATATTTCCAGTCAATTTTTTGGCGTCATTGGTGAGCTGACACTGACAGATCTTAGTAGCTACTCTGATTCATCAGTGAAAGCCCCAACTTATTGAGTTACAAGTGGTATTACACTTTGTTATCACGTAAGATGCTTTTCGTTTTTAAGAACACGAATCCTACATACCAAAAGGACCACCAGGTAGTTACAGTATGTTTTGTGCTACAACTTTGCTTTTTTAATCGCTCCTAACATTCTCTCAAAATATTCGTTCACAGTTCTGGTCATACGGCCGCCAGAGATGTACATTCCCAAAAATAATTGACAGATGCCATTTTTTTGAAAGCATTTTGTAAAACGATCGAGCTTCGTAACTATGAAAATAACTTCGTTTGGAAGACCTGAACGATTGTTTCCGATTTGCACGATCTTAGTCGCTCTTTTGTCCAATCATGCGCGAGCTTATGCTAACAAATCTTAGGAGCTTCTTTAATTTTTAAATGAAACAAACCTGCTCATTTGGCTGCAAGCAGCATCATATCTTTTTTTGCTGAAAATATTTTCTTTTTTAGAATCCGAATCCAACATGTCCACAAAACCACTAGGTAGTTCTCGTACATCTTGTCCTACCCTTTACGCTTTTTTAACTTCTCCTAACATGCTTTTATATTATTCACAAATGATTCTGGTGATATGGCCTTCAGGGAAGTCGATACCTAAGAATAACAGACATTTGCAGTTTTCGGGAGATCTTTTGCGGAACGGTTGAATTTCGTAAACACAAAACTAATCTTCTATGGGAAATTTGAATAATTAGTTCCAATTTGCACAGTCCCAGTCACTCTTTTACCCGATCACTTGCGAGCTGACGCTAACAAATCTTAGGAGCCACCCAAACTCATCCACAAAAGAAAACGCCTACTTATGTAGCTGCGAGCAGCATTGTGTTGTATTTTTATGTGAAGTGTTTGCTTTTTAAGAACAAGGAACAAACGAGTCCACAAAACCGCCAGAGAATTCCCGTACGTCCTGTCCTACGTCTCTTTTGTTTTTTTTTTGGACTTCCTCTAATATGCCTTCATAATATCCACCCATATTTCTGATGGTACGACCTCCAGGGAAGGAGATGTGTGAGGATAAATGGCACATTTTCGTGAAAACACCTACTTATTTAGTTACAAGTAGTATCATACCATTGGTTATTAGTAAGATGTTTTTCCTTGTTAAGAAAACGAATGCAACATACCAACACGACCACCAAACAGTCCCAGTACGTCCTGGCCCGCTTTTTGTTTTTAAAGCTATTCTTAACACATTCCCATAATACTCCACTCATATTTCTAACGATATATCCTACAGAGAGGTTGATACCTAACAATACCCGGTAATCGCGATTTTTTTGCGAAAAGATTTCACAAATCGGTTGAAGCTCTTAAATGCAATAATTATGATTATTAGGTATTAAAGAAAAGTAAATAGAGAATGACAATATACAAGGGCCTAACATTTCTGATTCTCGGCTTAGTCACATCTGGTCGCTACTTCTTCTTATTTCAAAGCTGTCTCTTCATCTGGTCCATCTGCACCACCGGAATCATTAGCCAACGGAAGTGCTCCTCAGTCTCCTCAACTCCCACTCTCCTCAAGGTCACCACGGCCATCTGCATTACCGGTCGATTGGGTGCTCGTAAAAGGAGATGATGTCGACAAAGTGAGTGACTAGCTTGACTACATTATTTCATTCATCTAGCCATCAAACTTTTATTTAGACGGATCATGCATCCTTCCACTCACCCATCTAACCATCAACTAATTTCTCCACTGATTTATTCTTTCATCTGTTCATCAAGGATCCACCCTTTCATCCTGATCCATCCATCTACCAAACGTTTATTTGCAATCAATTTTATTGTTTCGTTTCATGCCCTCCTTACTTCTGATTTTCAGTTGTCCGCTTCATTTTCATCAAACAACTTGTCAATTGTCTGTGGTAGAGGCAAAACAACTCATCCAGCTGCTTTTTTATCATACCCTATATTTGTTTCCTTTGATCCCACCTGAATAATTTTCTGCTATTTTCGGCATTAGAGTGAATCCAACTGTTACTTCCAAGTATGTAAGCACTTAAACTACTTTGCGAGGCTTCAGGTACAGGAATTGAATAAGCGCATAATGATGGGTGCTACAAGGGTCCTCTGTTTTGTGGTGAATGGCATTGTCAGTGCTCCCAGTCATTCCACTGTTGAAACAACTGAACGATGCATAGTCACCGACGTGGGGGCTAGCTCACAAGAGGGTTAAGAGGTTAAAAGGTGAACTATACAATAACCCAACTATCATTCATCCGCAATAATCCTCCGCCCTTTTTAATCGTTATCCCTCTCGGTACTCCTTTGGTCGTCATAACACCAATCCTGCCTTGTTGAAACGCTTACCGAAATGCGAGGTGGAGAGCATCGTCTCCATGGTTAGAATTCATGCACTGCACAACTTGAGATCGGAGGAGCTGCCAAAATGGCTGCAGTTTCAATATCTTCCCTTCTATTATTCTTCAAAGATTCAGTCTTCCACTGTGGATGCTCTTCTTCTGTGATGTCCCACTGCGACACCTCACGGGTGAACAGCGGGGTCGCCCTTATTTTATGGAAGTTTCATCAATGTGTTTCAGAAGGTGTTTTAAGGCGTGTGTGTGTGAGCTTGGAAGCAGCTGTCACAGGAATTACTGGCAAGGAGGATCATTATTTACGCTCTAAAAGGGTTAAAAAATTCATTTTATTGGCTTGATTTTCACGGCAACATAAATGATAACAGTCGCATCTTACATTTTCTTTAGGAGTTGGCAAATATGGATGAAGAACCTGAATCCGAATCAGGTCAGTCGTACTCTTATTATTTTCAAGTGAAGGCGATAAAATGAGTGGTCTACTTCACGTTTTTTGAACATTCAGAATTGACGGTGCCAGATTTCTTCGCCGTCGCTCGTGGTAGGGAGGCGTGGCAGACGTTCAGTTCTCTAATCATCACGGAGGAAGATGTAAATCCCAGTGCTTATCCCACTTTTGATGCTCCTCACTTAATACCTCTATGATATCCCCGATATATGATAGGTGACAGTAAAGTATTCGAGGAATATTTAAGACAAACCGGAATTTATGAGTTTATGGAGGTAAAGAACCAAATCGAAGGAATGCAAACTGCGTTTATTTTTTCAAAGTATTCCCCTCATGTCATTCATCCACACACACTAGTAATAACGCTTATTTTAATACTCGGGAAGCTTTGGCTGAAACTTCCCAGCATACCTAGGTTCTCCTGTTTTTCCGAAGTTGTAAATCTTCTTGAACAGTTATATTCAACGTAGCCACAGATTAGTTTGTCTCTTGTATTGTGTGTCTATCGGAGGTTCCATGGATTCAGTGTCCATGGTAATAGTTTCCATGCTGCACTCTGAGAATGGAGCGAGATCATTAATGGCAAGCGCAGTGTTTGTGTTTGAAACTTTTGCGACACTTTAATGGTGAGCATTCATTCACCTTGCTACTCTGTGGTTGGAGTATTCTGTACACGTAAATCATCCGAAGTTTTACCTTACGCCTAAGTTTACCACGCGCTGTTGCATATACCCAGGCACTAACACTGTAATCTGCCCTGTCACCTTTGTCTAGACACGTTCACACGAAACGGCAATGCGATACGCCTAACTCTTACTGGTTCATGTGGTCCCTCCACTGTTGCATCCAGTTTTTCGCCTTTATACCTTCAGGCTTTCCGAGAGGCACCGCACCTAGACATCCGCAAGATAATAGACATGTGGCAAGGACAAATAGCACTCTGGCTGGACTACCGAACGCTTTCACTAGGGTTGTACAACCGGAAGACTGGTATCTAGGCTTAGGTCGAGTCCTCAAAGTGTACAAAGCAACAGTCCATACATCAACCGGCGTCTCATCGTTGGAGATGCTCACAGAACGTAAAATGATATTGCCCTCCGATATAATTAACAACCGACAATGTCCTAAAGTGCGTACAGCAACCGAAAGAAGGGATGAGACAAACTATTAACATTGTACGTGAACACACGACTTTCATATATCAGTTAGAAGGGGTATTACGACAAACCCAGTCAGACAAACGTCAACCGGGAAGGAGGCCTAGTACAGATGTAGAGGTTAATCCTACCATCTAAAGTACACCACATGTTCCATCATCCGTGGAGCAAAGATGCATTTCGGCTGGTGAAAGTTATCTCACCAACAAACTACGTTGTTCGCAATGTACAACTCCGTACCCAAGCAGTTACCGTTCACCATAACAAAATGCGCCCGTATAGAGGTGTGCCTCCCGTGGGATACGGAGTTGAAGTTTGACTTGATCATGTCGCTCAAAAGAATGAATAAGGAGAATAGGAAATTCACGGTTGTCCTATGATCCTTTCTGAGGTGCTGTTGGAAGTAAACGGCAAACGTTAAGAATAGTTTCGGCATTTCTATTGAGAAAATACCACTATTTCCGCCTGAATAAACTTTGTGAATGACTTCTGTGGGTTCTTTCCTGTGGACGACATTGATGAGCACCTTATTTGCTTTGAATATGTAGATAGATATGAATAAAGTAAGTAAATCGTCATCGCGCTACTTAAATTATGCATTAGTAGAGAGGTGACAGCAGATTTGCAGGGTGGAATGGTGGATAAAGCCCAGTGCTATGGCTACAAACAGACATGAAGGTGATTTTAGGTTTTGCATAGTGTGACACTTGCCATGCGAAACTCGGCATAAATGTTGATAGTCTCCTCATTTGAGTTGCCACCTAAAAACTAGGGATACCGAAGGTTTGTCTCGTCAACTTCCTGTTTCACCTCACTGCACATGCACTGGGCAGCAAAACTACTCAAATTCAGAAAGGAAACCTGAGCAACTTATTCCTCCTGCAAATGAAAGGCATTAGCTCTCGTCTTTGAAAAACTCAACGTTCTAACCTACCAATCACGAAATTCCTGAAGCCAGTCCATTTCAACGACTAGCTGGGGGCCAGGCTAAGACCTTTATTAAACTCTGAGTTACCGGGACCTTTTCAATTGCACCTAGTGGTCCTGTGGAATTGGCAGTTCAAGTCGTTGTAAAGGCAAAGAATTGGTGAGACAGGTCTGGGGGGTATCTCCTTTTAAATCATTTTCAGTACTTATTTAAAAACGGCTTTCAAACTGAGAACTGCAGTGCTTGAGTCATTCAAGAACTTATAGTCTATGGAAGACAATAATTCCAAGGGATGAAAAGTGCACTCTATGGTGTAGCTTCCACTAAATATAAGCGTTTATCCCATAGTTTGACGAACAACCACCAAACCTCAGCCTAGAAGTCCTTGCCAGCACAGTTGAATCGTCCTACGACTGTCCATTTCACTACTCGCTCTAAATTTGGCGTAGAATAACGTAACCTGTTCTCGTTGCATGCATTGATGTGACTTAGAATGTCTTGACCTCTCTTCTTGAAACACTCCCCACAAACTCATTACAGCATTAAACTCCGCCCTTCTGGTTCATTGTTGCGATTTCAAAATACAGTGGGTTGTGCTTTGATTGGATGTTCGAGGTGACGAGTCCCACGCGGTGACCAAGTGGTCGTTGGAGGGACTACTATGACGGGGGTCGGGAACTAGGATGGTCACTGGCAGAAGCACGGTCGAGTGCCGTTGAAATTTTTACACCACTAAAATGTCTTAGTGCTGAGCCCAATCCTCGTTATTGCACTACGCTTGATGTCCTTTTCAAGCCAGGGTTTCATGACATCTTTCACCAACAACTTTGAAACTCTGTCCCATGTGCGTACAAATACCACCGCTTGGTGGGGTAAGTTGACTCACACACAAGACGCGTAGACCGTTAATAGTTGCAAAAGAGGGCACACACCACCGAATGTAGAACTGCCGCAATAACGTACATCATAAAGCTCACCGTCCCTGACGGAGACTTCACAGGCTACAAACCAGTAGGGTGGATTCTGCGCGTACACAGCTTCCCCTCTGGAGTCACCCTTATCGATTTTATCGAATTTCCAAAACAGGCCAACTTCAACAGAACATTCACTTCCGTGCCAAAATTCCGATTAAAGGTTAGAAAGCTGTGCCTCATCCAAGTGATCAGTACTTGTTTTTTTTGTAGATTGCCGCTGTACGACAGTGTCTAGGGTTAATGGAGTCGCCCGACACGGATGTGAGTGAGGCGTTGCACTTCGTCCGCGAAAAACAGACCCTATCACCGTTCTATTTTCAGCGTCCGCCACCTGAGACGACTTCCAACATTCCTACAGAATGGCACCACAAAACGGCAGCCCAAATGGTGCGGCTCAGGCACCTCTACGGCCTCGCAGTGCCATACACTCTGCAGCAGTGTTTTAGAGCCCTCGTCGAGGTCGACTGGAACATCGAAGAAGCTCTGAATCTCCTGCCTTGGTTAGGAGATTAAGCATCTCCACAATATGCAAGAGTGCGAAGCATTTCAAAGACGATTAACTACGCATTAATTCAGAGGCAAATGACATCGAACAAATATGCATTCATAAATATGTAATGGTCATAGACGCTGTGATGATAAGCCAAAGGACGTCCAACATGAGTACATACAGATGCAGCAATCATGAAAATGGCGATTATAAATACAGACGACATTTGGGAGAACAAAAACTTTAAGTGTTTCTACCCAATGGAGGGTTTATGCAACAATCCGTTCTTGTAATTGTAGCTGCTTCTTCTTCTTTTTAACGCCGCTCACCGACGCTTCCGTGCAGAGAGACCGAACGTACTCATCAAAATCTATGGTGGTGGTACAGACGGTAGAGTTGAAGGCTGTCTGCCTTGAGGGCGGCTCGATCGTAAAGTCGTTGGGGTCATCCAGTCCAGCCACCACTGACTCAATAATTTCGTCCAAGTTGGCCAGATAGGGAGCGGGCGTTTGCCACACATACTCCGGCCCACCGCTAACGCCGCTCTGCGGTATAGGCCGCCTGAACGAAGGTGGCTCTGACAAAGTGTTGATGTTGTTGGTAGTAACAAGTGGTTGTTTGGGGTTCTTTTGGGGTGGATTTGCTTTTGCAATGGCCATTTGAACAAGTGACTGTTTTTTGGGCGTAGCACTGGATATCATCTTCTGGGGAACGCTGTTGCGGACTTTGACGGAAAAAAAGGATTATATTTCATGAAAGCGAAATTAGCACCAGCATCAGAGACGGAACCAAAAACAAACCTGGTGGACAATGAGATGAAACGGCAGCAGCCTGGACGCTTTTACTAACGGGTGTTTTGTCTGAAGTTGCCTTCAGTTTAGATGAAACGGAAGAGGCAACCTTCCTAGGAGTGCACGTTGGTGGAGCTGAAAGTTTAAGTTCACTTACTAGAGCAGCTCTAGAGCCACTTACAGATAGGCAAAAAGCAGGTACTCAGGTGGTTTATCAACTTGGATTCGAATTGATTACAAAAACATACGAGAATGAGGCGAAGTAGCAGTAGTGACGAAATTTGAAGCAGCCTGAGGAGTCATACTAACGCGAGATTCAACAGGCGTTTGCTTCAAGTTATCCGAAGCAGGCACTACTTCCTTAGGAAAAGGCGATGAAGCATTACTCGAGCCTTTTGTGGTGGCTAAAAAAGATGAGGAAAATGGGCTAACTCAGTATGAGATGCCATTATGGATAAACGCCCCACCAAAATAATCCTAAAAAAGAAGAGTTCACACATATCATAATAGACCAAATAGCTTACAGCGCAACATGGCGGAACCGAGAAGGATTTCCACCTTTTCCAGCCTCGTGGACAGCTCAACCAACTTGGCTGCTGCATCACCACCGACATTTTTAGGTTCTGAGAGTCTGTCAGGCTCATTTTGAGAATGCTCTAATCTGGAGGATTAAGCAACAGGTGTTATGAAGCAGAAATACATTTGAAACGAAATGAGGTCGGCTTACATCTCAGGTGATTGTCGCTCCACAAAAATGGTTAGAAATGGAACCTCAGTCCAGAGGCCCTTGGTGGAAAGGTCCTCAGAAGCGAATATAAGATCTGAATTCCGGGTAAGCCGCAACTGAAAGCGGAATTCGCCATTATCATCGGAAACACAGAGAGGACGAACAACATCCATAGGTTTGAAAATATCGAATTTACGAATCATTTTTCGAACAGACTTTCGTATGGTTGAAAGATTCCGCTTAATCAACTCCTGACTTTCGCTTAACTCATCATGGAGTCTCAGCAAAACAGCCTGACGATCCCCGGAATTCAGCATGTAAATGTCAGACTGTTCAAATAAAAGGGCGCCAAACCGTCAATATCAATCAAAACTAGCTTCAGAGGAAAATAAAAATAGGGAATCTGGCAACCAAATTAATAAATATTCTGCAGATATTTTTATTTTTATTTTGT